TTTTGATTATGGAACCACACTACCGAAAATGATGTCCTGATTGCTCCCACCAGTACCAACAAATCACTTACTCTTCATATTCCGGGTCACACAAAGTGAAGGTTTCAAAAGGGATACCACTAGAAGAATTGTGGTATTTACTCAACTCACTAGACCCCATGAAAACCATAGATGCTGGTTACTTATTCTAAATAAAAAGCTACATTTTAAACAAAAATATAAAATAAATTGCAAATGTTATACGCGCTTTATAATTTACACCAAATGAGCGATTGTCGGATCAATTTGTTCTTTTGGAGGGTACATCTATTTTATGTCATGACACTATTGTTCAACTATTTTGCATAGAAATTTACAGAAAATTATAAGGCGGACTTTAAAAGTGTCAATTTCCTACAAAAGACTAAATAGGATATTTGCTTACCGGCAAATTTGCTAGATATTTTTACAAACGAAAATGGGATTAATTCCACGGCAAGAAAACACATGGAAAAGAAGAAAAACACACACAGGCACATAATAAATTTTTTTTAAATTTGAATATGCACGTAAACCTCAAATCTGTGTTGGTGAAGCTGGTAAACATAATATTGCAGGAGATTATACAGCCAGACTGTTTTGTGAAGGAGATGAAATTAAGAGTTCAGAGCAGCAGTAATGAATCAAAGTCTGAATAGGGTTAAGTGATCGAAACGAAGTTAACGAGGCAAGAAGTGCCGGTTTTGACAACGGTTAAATAATGTGTTAACGGAAAAAAAGTAGATCTATGTAAGACCAGTCACTACGGTTAAAAACAAAAGTGAAAGTGGATTATTTGGCTCTATGCTTGATGAAACCAAACTAGAAAGGACTAATTAATCCCATCCAAACATGAAAGCGGCATTTCAGAATAAGACAAATATGAAATCTACGAAAGAAGTTAAGTGTGGGTTAGTTACCCATGCGGTCAAAGTAGAAAACCAACCTTTAGGAAAAACGCTAATAGGACAAGAATCACCGGAAGGGACTGACGGTAAAATTGTATCAGAAAAGGACGAACGGCGAGTCAATATGCATTTGTATATTCCAAAAACTTGTTGTTCATTATCAGACTACAGTTCTTCTTCACAACGTGCATGCCATTTAATTTGGTTTGCACTTCTTTCAAATCGTCCTCACTAAGATATTCTTGGCGTATCCAGAAAGACAAGATGCTTTAACCGAAGCAATTCTGGCGACCGAACTAACAGCACAACGGTAATTGTTCAGCTCTGAAGTTCTATCAGTGATGATCTGTTATGTCACTCAAGGAGAGCAAGAGGGCTATGACACTTTCCAGTTGAATAAACCTATCCCATCCCACCTTCCTCCAGTTTCAACCGGGATACGTAATACGGTAGTTGAGAAGTTGAGGGGTAGAATGTTGCCTAAACAGATGATTGTACTCAGAGAACTTCCAAACTTTTTGAGCTTAAAAGACACGCTGTAAACTGCCATCAAAGGTTACAATTACTCTGGTAGCATAAATGGCTGGCTCCGCAGTATGCGGCGGATTGCACGGGAATATTACATACAGGTCGTTTCTAGCGAAGATTGGTAGGTAAATACACTCAAGGCGTTGTCTTTGTTGTTCAAATTTAAGTGGTGGTTCTACTATTCAGATAATAGTGCTTTGCGATTAGATGAAATGAAAACAATCACAAAATGCTCTTTTCCAAATAGATTCTCAACGGACCAAAAATACTAACAAAATGATAATAATATTAAAGGTAATAAAAGCCGTTTAGTTGCGAACCTTCTCTTGCGTAGCTGCTATGCTACTTGAAGAAAGCGCGAACGCGAGATACCACCAGGTTGCCTCAGCCTAGACGGGGGCTTTTTAGACGCAGAGTTTGGATTTAAACCACGGACCTTGTTTTTAGCAAATCTGCGGTTTAACCGTGATCTATTTCGAGTCAGTGGAAGTGCAAGCTTAAACACTATTATCCACACACCCCAAACCCCAAGTTCATCATCATTGTTATCAATAAAATTACTAAAGCATCTGCAAAAAACGGACTAATCTAGGCAATAGTGAGGACTACTATGATAACAGTGTAAATAAAAATACTGATTGGAAGTCCCTCTTGCGACTCCTTCCAGATGTTTGAGCTATAGAACGATTGGCTGCAAGCTTAAGCTGAACCTAAATTGAGGTAATGGAACCATCTAATAATGTTAGTGATATTGTGTATTTTGTTCCTATCCAAGAAGTCAACTAGTGCGCCTCATTTCTCTCACTCAGGGTCATCACTTATACCCAAAGGCGGTACATGGTGTGGCGCTTTCCTCAAAAATTGGCACAATATGTAAATTTTGCCAACACATCTTTATATACGACATACTTCTGCTTGTCCTTTGCAGATCTGCATCTTCAAGTGACAGCTTAGCCTTTCAGTCTCTCAGTAGTTCAGATACAGCGGAGTTCAGTAGTCACTGATTATCCTTATTCATACACAGATTAAGTTTTCATTGCAAAACCAAAGACCCTAAATCTTGTAGTCGGGATCTTATTAGTAGCACAGGACTCAGGACTCTGTACACGCGCAGCCTAGCGACTTGATTTCAGTAATCTCTTGTATAAGGATCTCTTATTCCAGACAAGCAGTATTGGTTGTGATGCCATTTAATGGAGGCAAACGGTGATTGTTAGTCGCAACTTAGTGAGCGAAAATTCTGGTGTTTAAAAATGAGCTCGAACGTAAGATAAAGAGTGATAATGGAGAGCGCGCATGTAGGTCGTAAAAATGATGACAGAATAGCTGAAAAATATATCTAATAATGATACATGGGCTTTTATTGTCTCGGTTGAACGACTACTCTCTAATTGATACGTATTGCAGACGTGTAGAATTCAACTTGCATTTCACGTTTGCTACGTGGATAACATACTTGCTGGACGCCCAACCTAATAAGATTTTTCTCACCACAGGCCCTCCGGATCAACCAATGCCTAAACACCGATTACAAGGTATACTTGACGTAATTTTCTGAAAGTCAATAACCGTTCCAAAGGTGTATGTCTCTGATGTGAGGCGGAAAACTAAGATACCAGACGCTGTTATCTATGAACCTTAGGTAGTTGTGACTGATAGGAAAATAAGGTTTTGTCCTTAAACTATCGAGTGCTTTGTGTCCCACTTTAATTATGTAGAAGTCAGGGTTTTGCCAATTCAATTAGACCAAAATCCAACGAAGCGTCAGTCAGACTAGTGTTTTCCACTGTAAACTACTAAATTGCATCGCTCTTATTGAGCTATGCTCACAAATTTGAGCTTTTTAGAACGTCTTGAAATGGAAGTAGCATTAATAAATTCGTACAAGTACATTCGTTTGCATACCAATTTGTTTCCATAGAGAGGCCCACCTGGATCCCAGCTGAAACTCGTTACGGTGTGTTCAGTTTAAAGTGGTTACCATACTTTACTGCCTCAGGTAACAAATTTCACTGTTTAACGACTGGATTCAGTCATCAAACTAAATGGTAAACAACCATAGCTACCACAAGCAGTCACTAATTTTACAATATGGTGGGCTTGGTACATTTGCAGCATACACGAAGAGACTAAAAAATGTAGGCTTATTTAGAGTTGGAGTTTCGGACCGTTTCTAAAAGGTCAAGGATCTAAGGCTCAACGACAGAGGGTACTACGTGCCCGCATGTCTCTTTAGTCACGTGATTTTCAGTCGATCTGATAAAGTCCGTTGACCTCATTAGTAGTGCTCTGTCCTTTGATACCGCTTACAAGTAGGCCTCGTCCGCGAAATAATAGGTTGTTCTCCATTTTAAGTCTTGTCTAGTCTTGTGGTGTGTTGGACGCCTCATACATCTTTCCTGAGTAACCAAGGTTACCAGGATGATGAGATGGTGTGGCGCGCAACAGATTAAAACAGTTGTACAGCTTCAAAGAAATTCATTCTTCAAAAGAGACCGGAAACCAGTATCTTCAGGATCCAAAAAATTTGTCTTTCTTGGGAGTCACTGGAGGTTATTAGATAGTTGCAGTCCTTGAGTTATCGTCAATCTTGTGATCCACTAAATTGTACACAATTGACGAACTACATTTGTTTGCAAACTGAGATGGTATTGACGGGGGATTCAGCTAAATACTGGTTTATAATTTTTAAATGTATGTTATTCAAAGGCAACTCAGACGCTGCACCCACTTGATGACTCCCAAAAAGGGCAAAATCGGTTGTTGGTTCTAAAAGTTTTCAACAACCTTATGAGTAGTGTGTACCGTCAAGGAAACATTTCGGCATCTCGAATAGCGTACCAGTTTAAACACAGAGCGCCCTTTGTGCAGCACATTCATTTGAACAGTATCACATACGAGAGATTCAGTTGGGTCCCAAGTAAACACCAAAATTAATTGATAATGAGCGTACTCCACCGATAATTTACGTTAGTTAGTCATTAGGAAGGAGTTGAACTATAACCTATACAATTTGTGCAGCTCAGGAAAAGGTATTTCTTGGTTGCTTAACGTCAGAGCTTTGTCTCAGTCGACTTAACATATGGTTACAAACTGAAACGGTTGGTATTAGCGGGGGGTAACCCAATCCAAGTCGAGTATCCACCGAGAAACATCAGTCTGGATAACCGAATGGGTAATATTGTGAGTTGTCATTTTGAGGACCTCGATATGAACCCTACATAGGCACCTTCAGAGTAGCTGCACTTTATGTCCTGGTGATTTGGACAGGTGTTATATCGGAAGGAACATCTCCAGACCTCCACTAATTGTGAGAATTCGTTATAGTCAGATGGACCACGAAGTACGGTCAGTCAATCCGACGATGACTCAGCCAGCGTACTCGCGCAATGCTATAACCTGGATAAATTTGATTTGATGCTACTGCAACAGCAACAGAGTAACGCAGGGAATTTGCTCGAGATATTCTTCGACGCCCTTTCCCCGAGATGGGAAAGTAGAGCGATGGAATATTCGTAAACAACGCAGCGACAAAAAATCACAATTTGCACTATTCAATTAGTTGATTACATTAGACAGTATGAAGTAAAGCTGAGAAAAGAATAACACTGCTATCGAAAGAAAAACGAAAGGAGATGATAAATAAGTTACTGGGAACAAATGATCTTTTCAGACAGCCAAATCAAGATCAACGCTGAATACAAGGATATTCAGTTATCTGCTCAGTATCTGACACAAAACGGAAGCTGTACAGGTCGAAGAGAAGGATTAGCAAATCATGAGTGAATATATCAACAAAGACAGTTTATCACGAAAGAATATGACTGGGGTAGTGAGCCAACAGATAAGTGAGCTGACCGAAGTCCTACATCGTGGTCGGTGCTAGGTTGGCGCTAGCTGGTTGTGGAATTTAATAGACCCATGTTACTGGGATCCATTGGGGATTTGTTTGAAACTCATCAATTGCCCTCTTCAGTTGCTGGATCGTAACTTCGATGTCATTGTTCACAATCTTCAAGTCAAAGTAGTGTCGATAATGGTTTTCCAAAAACTGACTCTCACGAGCCAGACGTTCCAAGCTTCCATCCTGTGTGGTGGATATAAGTGCGAGAAACAAAAAGTAAGCAGTTAATTTCCAAATAGGAGGTATAAGTACACACATGTTCTAACACAGAGAAAGGCGATAAGAGCTGGTCACTTTCCGAAAATTTTGAATTTCCCCAAAACGTCCTGTTGGAGTAGGAGGTAGTCCTCGCAACGGAATAGGATGGCTTTTTGTGCCACGTGAACACCCACACAGTAGATAGCAGTGAACCTGAGTGGTTATCACACCACTGGACAAATTCCATTTCAGCGAGTCACTGGGTAGTAGCAGTAGCTATATTGGACGACAGCCCTTAAGGAATCCTCGTCACCAAATAAATTGGCAGCACATTAGACCAAAAGTGCACTGAAGCTGTCACCCTTTTCGGTGATACAATGTTTTAAAATGAGCTTTTCTAGCTCGGCAATTCAGTGACTCATCATACGGCGATATTATCTTCAATAAATACTCCCAATAAGGAGATGAAAAGCTTCAAGTAAACAAAAGTTTCAAGAATATATGCAGAACAAGCGAGCCTTAGTTTTCAGCCAATTTCGGTCAAGTTCTCTTGAGGAAATCAAAAAAATCGACGACTACTCGAGTGGAATTTCCGAAAAACGAGAAAATCACTCATTGATAGTGGACAAGCACGTAAAACTCATGGCAGGAATCCAATGAGCGTTCGCAAAGATAATTCCCTTCAGCCTAAACGGTAAACCAGTTTCACTTTAGTGTTTAGTTCATAGATAATGAGCCACAGGATTACCTAAAAAAAGGCCACTTCAAATGCGGCTATCAGCCTCATAAAGCTAGTCTGTGAAAAGTACCTGTCCTATTAAATGTCCTATTACCACTTGGGCGACGTGGTCCAAGTGGTCAGAGCGCCAAATTACTGACCGGAAGGTCCGTGGTTCAAACCCGACCTCCGCCTCTCAACTTCCCCTGTCTAGGCTTGAGCAACCTGGTAGTATCGCAGCCCCCGTGCCTCCTTCGTGTGGCATGGCAGTCAGGGCACCGAAAGGTGTTACAGCTGACCAATTCACCGAACAACTGATTATCGTGGTTCCTGTGTTGTTGACCCAATGTGGTTGAGAGTTTGGCCAGCAACTATTTCGCAGTGAATGTACGGATAATTGAATGGGTGAATACAATAAACAAACTTCGGGGCTACCGAGTATACTACATTACGCACGATCTGCTTACATTGGGGTTGTGCTGGTCGTTGGCCATGTCTCGTAAGGCGGGTGCAGCGATGAATACGACACAAGGTGCGAACTCTGCGGTACGGAGCACTTTCAAGGCTTGTGGTTCCACATCCAGAATAGCAATTAATCCGGCGGCGTGGATTTGTCGAATAGTATCCAACTTGGTGCCATACATTGCATCCTCGTGCGTGCCATATTCCAAATATTCATTGGCCGCTATGTCACGCATCATCTCTTCGTGCGACACAAAATAATAATTCTTACCACTGACTTCGTCTTTTCGTGGGGCACGAGTAGTATCTATGTGACAGATATAAAGTAGAAAAGAAAATGCGCTTGGATATGGGTGCTTGTAACAGCCAGTCGCGAACAAATTTTGGTGAAATCAACTACAACATCCTGAAACAAAGTTCTTGTATTGCCTTTCAGGAGAATCTTGAAATAACAAGTGTGGTAAATTGACTTTCCTGTTAAGAGAACGACGAAAGGCGTTAATTTCAGCACTTTGATTCAAGATTCCTAGCTTACCCTAATAGGCGAGTAGGAAAACAAACAGGCATGGGACTCCCTCTCTGTTCGGACTCCAGATTCAATAAAAGCAATGTTCGCCTAAAGCTTGTTCGAGGCTTTTGAAGTAACTTTGTTCTTCGTACCTGAATATAATATGCGTAGTATCACACGGCCAAATGAAAAATTTGAAAAAGCAGTGAGATGTTTCGAAGTGGAGAAGTTGAAATAAAGCATCTCGGAAGAATTGTTCAAACTAATCTGACGCACAGTCCGGTTACAAAGAAAAGCAGTTCAAGTAAATAACCAAAACGTCATAAATGGGGAATGATGCTTCGTCAAAAAATGAAATTGTAACATATGAAACAATCTACGGTTTTCGGTAGCCTAAAAATGTTAATCAACCGTCACCACCCGAATGTGGTCGCGTTTTTCTGCGAATCATGATCCATTCAACTTTGCTGTGAAAGCGAGTAAACATTCACGGACAATAGCCCAAGGTCTTCATGCTTGTATTCATATCCTTGCTGCAAGAATACGATTATGCATTATGCCCATTTCACATAATATGAAACCAGAAGCGGGTGGCTGATTATGACATCCCACCAAAGAGATACCTAGGGAGTTGCTGTTCAAGCTGATGAATGTCCTCAGTCGCACTAAGCGAAATTCATCTGACAGGTCATCTGTGTGGAAATTTTGAGAGGATACCCGACACATTCAGTCTCCTTTTTTTACTGAGCCCATTTACTCAAACAACATTTGACGGGAGCCACATTTCTATGTCGTTCAATAGGATGGCGGAATATTTTTTTATTACGTGTTATTGCACCGTCTCAAGAATCCCGGGATGGGGAACTGTTTTACTGAGGCTTAAGGACGTCTGAACTTGTCTGCCGGAGTATCATTTACAGGGACTTTAATGAAAACTATAAGTACGATACCATATCGTGGAACAGTGTCCCAGCATGCCTTCGGTCAGACTACCACCAGTCGAAAGCATTAAAAGTTACTGCGCCCTACGGAATGAAGGATACAAAATAGTTAGCCAAAACGGTTACCAAATAGAGCGAAAAAATTAGCTTACGCCAGCAAACTTGATTCATTAATAACATCCAACTCACGTGGGACTGGATATGCAAACCGATCCGGAGCAGACTGTATGAGGCAGTTTTTAATGTGTCTACGTCCAACTCCATGTGCTCCGAGTAATACGAGTGTACGCCGGCGAAACTGAGGCAGCCGCACAACCTCCTCGTAGGTGACTAGATCTAATTGATCGTAGACAGCCGAGTGCTTAAGACGATATTTCTCTCTGGCCTGTCGTCGCTTGCGACTGAACCATGAGCCACAGTATACGTTTTCACCTACAGGATTATTTTCCACTGGCTTATTTGCCATACGCCATTCGTGAAGTTCTGGACTTGGAACTAGACCAGCTGGTGAGTGGTAGTCAGTACCCCAGAGCCTGGCCTAAAGGAAGGAATAATAGAAGATACATTTCTGTTACATGACCGATTATGAATTGTCAGGCATATGAGAGACTGATTTTTCAGTGGTTTATCTCTATTAATAGACAAGACAAAACAGTTTTCTATACTCGTCGCTGTTGGCGGATTTTCAGACAAACTATTCTACTCTGGAGACAAAACTGAATGAGCAACCTGGGAAAAAACTGGAGGTTGTGCACAACCACCAACCCACCGCTACGCACTACTACGCTCCACAATAACGCACTGATGATTTCACCTCGATTGGTGATGAAACGTTTGCAATCGAATTGCCCAGCTCAGCGAACAAGCCAACGACCACAGCGTTTTTATATGCTGCTTTAAAATAGAGCAATGCAATCGGTGTTTCGGGCGGCCGTTGATTATATGTGAATATAATGGGTCAGATATCGTAAGGAAATTTGTACAAACACTCGTATGTCTCATAGTTAAGATACCTGCAAGAAACCTACGGGGAATGTTACTGTACGCTGAATCCACCGGTTGACAATAGAATCTCTTTTCAGCAACCCGCTTAAAACGACGAGTGAACAGTAAAAAATAATATACAACGTGGTAATAATGTTAAAGTCCTGAACAAGCGAACCACTAATACTTAGGGAGAAGCTATTCGTCTGAAACAACCCAGTCTTCGACCTTTGCTGTGTGACAGAGGATCATTACACCAAGATATTTTATACAGTTAGTCAGAGACAGTGGACAGCCATTGATGGTAATTTGGGCCACAATAGGTCAAATAAACTCAATATGACTAAAACGCCTTAGTCTGAACATAATGAACATAATCCAGATGCATTTGAATGGGTTAAGGTGTACAGCAAAGCCAAAGTGCTGCTTAAACAAACAGGCACTCACTAGTGTAGAATATGCGCTGCCAACCCGTGTCGTCCGCACATTTTTATCTTGATGCACTATTTGTGACGCCTCAAATAGTTTGTGCAGAAAGCCAACACAAACAGAGACAAAACAGCTCCTTAGGACATCTTAAATTCGTTGGTGAGAGCCTTCAACATCTTTCCGCCAGTATGATGTACTGCCTGCGATCGGTGAGGTAGATGTATAATGGGGACAGAAGGGGTTCCTTCGACGTCTCGCCCATAACGTCTACACAACAAGAACAGTCGATGAACTGGAAGACTTTCTGGTGTCTACGTCCTCCAGAATTCTGATAAAGACAGACTAGTGCATCCGTAGCGGAACTACGCATCTTATATAAAAATTGATATTCAGTGGATGCTTCATGATCTCGAGCGGTAGTCGCTCCAGCATTTTCAACAAGTGTATGAAATTGGATGTGGGTCCATAGAATGACAAGTTTTGGGTATTGAAGTTGTTCTAGAGACTCTCAATCCTCCAAGACAAGAGTAGATGATTGACGTAGTAGAACAAATATTTCTGAGATGTAGTACTTTAACATCAACAAAGGCACCATCCCTGGCCCGCTGGCTTATGGTTACAGGTGGCGAACCTAACCATGCGTATTTGTTACCCGGGGTCACTTGAACTCACCTTTCACTGGTTGAATATGTCCAGAAGAAACAAGTTGTACAAATAAGACAAGTATGCCCACTCAGCTACTCGGTTTACCCTTTCACTCAAGTTTTGGGGCAAAATCGCATGAAGAGGTACATCAGATTATTTGATACGGTTAAATTGCCAATATTGCATTTTGCAACCTTTTTGTCTCAAGTCAATTCTGTATGGTGTGCTCATTGATGCAAAAAAGAGGTCAGATTATAAAACATCTGTGCTGTCAGACCAAATACAAGGTATCGGACTGAAGACCACCAGGTTGAATGAACTTAGCCTCAAAAAGTCTAGCCTGCATTGCCCATAAACTTGCAAATATAATTCTCCAAACTCTGATCTACTTGAAAAATGCATATTTTTAAATTAATTTGGTTTCAACGGAAGACTCAACCGAATTTCAGCTGAATTTCTCGTCTATGATATTCAGCTGGGATTCATTTGAGTCTCGCGTTAAAACTAAATTAGTTTGCAAATGCGTGTATTTCGCGAATTGTGTACAATTTGGATTAAATTAGAACAGAAGGTTGACGGAAACTCCAGGATCGCACCTGTCTGGACTACGTTTCACAGACCACTGGATACGATTCTAGCAAAAGTGCATATGTTTGTTGGGTTATTAGATAGGTCGAATCCGAGTGCTAGGTTCACTCATATTTTCACAAAGCTGATCATTATCTCCTCCACCTATATAGGTCCAAGGATTATGTATGATTGAGATGCATTCTTTGTCCTACACCTTGGGGGAAAAACCACAGTGATACAAGATACGCAACTCTAGCGCTGTGTCGAAGTGGCAGCACCCTAGATGCCATACCAAGTTGCCGTACCATACCGATGTAACGGTGATACTACTGATCGGGAGGCACGCGAGTAGTATGTGCTGTTCGTAGAATTTCGCTTTGTGTCGATTGAAAAAGGGAATTCTGTTGCGGAATTCGCGGCGCCACTTTGTAACATTTGCTTGGATTTGACCGACGAATGATTGGGGTCAATGAATCTCCAGGAAGACTCGTTCGGGAGAAGATCTGTGTCCAGTTTTTGTAACTAAGGTGCAGATTAGAGTTTTGCTTCCCTGTTCAATGGTCTGTAACCGGTCAGTTGGCACTTTCCGAATAACAACTCCGCAGCGAAGGCCTTCTTCTTTTCACCGATACAGCAGTCGAGTAAAGACATGCCTAGAAGGATACTGTTGAAAAAAACGGCAACAGATCGGTGCTGCTAACCAAATGGATAGTACACAGTGATACCTGTCTGAAGGTGAGTAAATAAAATTTGTAGGACACGCTTTTGTACAAGCCAAGAGTTTGTGAAAAAAACAGATGTAAGAAGGATTGCAAAATTGATTGGAGCTCGCCACAGAGGCACACTTATCCGTAGCTCACCTGCCACCAGTTATGATCATCTTTGCTGATTATCTGCAAAATATCTCCGACTTGGAAGCGAACGCCCGCCTGCGGACATGGTATGAGGTCATCTTCCTCCGGATTATAGTCAAACATAGTTCGTACGTAAATCTATGTGAATTAAATAAGAAAAATAATGTCGCATAGTTAGAAAAGAACAAACAGGTTTTAGGAACAGAGACCAGGAAATTTGTAGTGTTCAACTTACCTCACACTGAACAGGGTTGGTTCGATAACTTGGCACGATTTTCAAACTTACGCTACCTCGTGCGTCACGCTTTTGGTTTGGAAAGAATACAGAAAACAAATTAAAGGTGGCACTGAGGTTGAAAGTCATGAATAAGCGAACGTTCTGATCATAATCACCTTTGATGTAGGTAGGGGATATTCTGATTTGTGGTTTATAAAGACAAAAAGACAAGCATATGTATGCTTTTCAAGGCAGGCAGTGTTGCTGCGACGCTCAGAAATTACACGAACAACCAAATCGCTGTTATTTTTGTCAAAGTCAGAGGCACCAACATCGATATGGGGGATACAGGTTAGTAGGATTTTGGGCATCATATCACCCTTGTGATTTCCGGAAGCAAAATATAGAACTGCTCAGAGAAGCCTACATCGAGCAAGACCAGTTTGCCCATGATCAGAAATAGGTCATCAGCACTACTTAAATCCAGTTTTGATGTCCACACGGTAAATACGCTCCAGCGGAGGAAAATTGCACATCACAATGAATGGGATACTGGTTTTTCGTGTGAATGAAATTTTGACGTAGCTTTTTGACACAAATGTTTGGACTACACAAGGATTGCTGGATTGATCAAGCATTGTTGCCCCGAACCAAAAGCGTCATGTGCTTGAGTGAATAAATACTGTCTGTGCTTGTAGCGATGTCCAACCAACCGATACTGGCAAGCAAGGAGATTAGTTTGAGAGAAACGTTGCAGAGATTTTTTGCTTTGGAGATTCTTGGAAGCAAAACTCTAAAGCATTAACATATCGTTCCTCATTAACAGTTGTTGGTGCGTAGAGTGGGGCTTTTCTAATTCCCCCACAAAACATGGTCTATCACAGTTCTACTTCTGTGCACTTATCACCTTATCTGGGGGCGAGATGGCTCAAGGGGTTAGAGCGCGAATTTACTGACCGGAGGGTCCGTGGTTCGAATCCGACATTTGCCTCTCGACTTCCCCTGTCTAGGCTTGGGCAACCTGGCAGTACCCCAACCCTCGTGCTTACTTCGGATGGCATGGCAGTTAGGCACCGAAAGGGTGCGACAGCTGAACGAATACTTATTATTATTATCACTTTATCTACCGTTCAAGTGCGGATCAGGTCGTTGCTTAAACTAATTAATTTATACTGAACGGAGTCACATTAGACCAAGCCGATATTGTGCATGAGAATCAAACTGGAATGAATTCTGCCTGCAGAACTGAATTCCGATATAGACAGAATACTCAGATCAAGTAATTTTAGTTTAGGATACATCATATTCTTGATACCAACGATGAATTTTGGAAGTAATTGTGCATGAGAACGAAGTGACAGCCAACTAATTTGCCAGTCGTCATATATTTTATGAGGCCATCGACATCTGAAGACAGTTAAGAGTGTTGCTCTTTTTTACTGCTTAAACTCCGCCAATAATATGAGCGAATAATAAACAAAGTACAAGGAAACCTTGAGGTCACTCGTTCGGGCCAGAAACTCACCAGAATACGCTGAAGATGTTCAACAGATCTTCCAGCTACAGGTGCTCCGTTGATTTCCCGAAGTTCATCTCCAACATGCAAGGTCCCTTAAAGTGGATTGAAGAACAACTTGAAAAAAATCGCACACTTCCAAATCAATTATTACAGTAGCATAAGTTTTACAAATGCCTCTGAACGCTACAAGATTGCCGTCGTCCGGAGGACAAGATTTTCGACCCTGTGAAGCCAGGGTGAATAACCATCTTATATGGGATACGGTGTACGCACATTTTCCACTAGCTACAACCCGAAAACGATTTTATGGCTACCCAATATTGGCCTCCACGATGGCTTCCAGAATGCCCCGTGATAACACTCACAGAGTGCAGAAAATTCACTGATCCAACTTTGATGGACGATGGTTGGCACCAGCTGCTGTAGACATCGGTAAACCGTTTGCGACCTCTCCTCATCTGTATTTCCACAAAACCGGTCGAAGAACCGATCACAGTGCATCGATGGCGTGTAAATCAGATAGAGGACAACCACATCGGTCAGTAGCTGCAAAATTTTCACCCACTTACTTGTGCCTCATGCTGTTGCGGTGTACCTCCAAGTACAAAGAACGGTTTCATTTTAGGATTCCTCTCGTAGTATCACATGCATTTTGAGGAGTTCTATTATCAGAACTACGAACTCCACCTCATTAATAACAAATTTTGGTTCACATCGGATTAATGATGCATGAACATTACGGTATTTGTATTCAACTATCACATTTCCTGAGTTGTTTACTCTTAATTGCGAAAAATAATGGTGATATTTATTGTTCATTAGCCAGCGATCCAGAAACAGAATAAAAGCATTCACAGAAACTTATCGCCCGCTAAATTTTATCGAAGTTTTATTAAACTTAAAGCCCTATTTACAGAAAGACGCTGGGAAATGTGTCATCGTGGAAAGGCATACGACTGCAGAAAGAGGAAAATATTGATGTCTCCAGAGAGCATAATGGTTTTGTCTTGGGATCGATTACTGTGCACAGAAATTAGATTACCACGGACAAGAGGAATGTCAAATTCGAGTTGCACTGTACTTCTGCGCTATCACTTTCGACATCAGTAAAAAAGTGGTCAACAGACACTGATGCAATTCCGAACCGAACAGAGGTAAAAAAAAGCATCAAATATGCATCACCATAAACATCATCATCATCAGCTGTAAAACAAACCGCATGCTTGCTGCGCAGCGGTCACAGCTGCCAAAGTTTCGTTCACCGAAGACTTGAAGAGTCAGCAAATAGCTGTGACATGGAGGGATAGCTAGCATAACTGACGCGTCAATACGTTGATTTTTTACGAGGAATCTTCTATTCACTGTTTATGAGCTTCGGCAAACTCCAGTCACTTACACTGGACTTCAATCAACCTAGTGGCATCAATTTCGGAAACTGTCACGCCTTGTGTAAGAAGAATGACAGTCGAAAGTACAACCGGACGATCAATCCACGTTAAAAAGGTAACCCGAATGATGTTGGTGAAGTACACAGTACAAAGAGGAGGGTGCAACCACCGAACACACCGCAAAATGTTGTAGTAAAGTGGTGATGTCCTTCAACAGACGAATCCTGGAACTATAAACCACTTGAAGAGAAAGCGATTCGCGAAACCTGATACACTCAAGGAAGTAAACATGAGAAGAAGCATAGCTGAGTGTTATTTTAAGAACCTGGCACTTTCGCTTCGAAAATAGTTATAGTAAGATAGTGTAGAGTGAAATGCTTTCATTGAAAGCTGGCGGTAGGAGCCGTCTCATAGTTTTACAGCAACGGAGTAAATGATGGTGCAAAAAACAGCAATGCGGAAAACTCGGAATTGTGCTGATCAGCCAGAAAATGAAACAAAGGCGTGCTTTGTTAGAGAAACAACATTTTACCGATGCAGACCGCATGCGTCTCAGGACCGCTCGCGTACGGCAACCTTAAAATTAATGCACACACAGCATGAGCTAGTGGTTCAAGCCCCCGTGGATGCCCAAGTAAATCCACAAAAAATGGCATCCAACATCAATCAGACTACTCGAAGCCACTTTAATCAAACTAGTTATCAGGTGCGAGAACAACGTGAAGGACGCATTCACTGAAGAAAATGAACAAGTTTTAAAATAAATGTGACACCTAAAGTCATACAGGTAATTTCTATGTTGAAGCACCAACTTCTGGGGTCGACAGTCTTCAACTGAAAGGGGCACAGGCAATGCCGAAAAGCCCCAAAAAGATTAAAAGATCTGATTGAATGACAATGGGTAACAACTGTTGGTGGTTAGTTAGCGAAGTTGGGATTTTGGAGCAGCTTATCCAGACGACGATAAATGGATGGAAGCAAGACCAAGAGATCAAGCAACTATTTTTGAATGCAAGGTAAGACAGAACAGTTAGTACCGTGTAACCACGCTGGTTGAAATTTGATACATATTTATTCCCAGATAATGCCAGTCGAGCTGTCATTGGCCCAACACATATCGCGCTCTCAGGGTTGCAGGCAAGTTGAATCATCGAAATCCTACGGTGTTCAATGCCCCTTGTAATTATTGGTAACAAACAATTTTCCCGAATAAATAGATGAAACGGAGAACACAGAGATGAAAAATCTTTGGGCTTTTTTTAACTTTTGTGCAAATATTCCTGCTTCTTTCAAAGAACAACATTTGCAGAGCTCAAAGATTGCCTGTACACTTCATGCCCAGCCACCGTGACACTTATGGAAAGAAAATATATCTTCCTTCCTCAGATGTATGATTCGTATACACGGACGCGACAAGGATTTTAAATGATCTGCGTCTTTAAACTTCAGCCTGGTGCCCTTGGCGAAAAACGTTTTACAAAAACCTAAGCAACCTATGACTTTCCAGACGCTGTCATTTACCAAGCGGCTAACCAAAATATCAACCTGAGTACTTGCGTTTGTTGTCGTTACAAGGGAACAGGGATGTTATTTCAGGACGATATGGGTACCGACATAAAACCGTTATTCACATTCGGAAAGCTTTCCAGTCCCAGAGTACACAAATCACCACGACCATCATAAAATGTTGTCAGAAAACCGTACTTCAGTTACCTTGTCTGTGAATCATTCCACCGTGCATTATTCTCGCCACAATACATCGACCTTCGTCATTCATCTTGAGTGTGATACCCTGTAATGGAAAAACAGTAACAAACAACTCCTAAAAAACATATACCTGTTACCACCTTTGTATAAGTTTCCAAACAACTTCAACATGTCTCAGACGTCAGCCATCTGAATTGTGCATCAGCGCCGAGGTATATGACCTCTGATTCCTTTTGTTTACTTCCGCACGCTGGTGTGATCCAACTAGACTTTCGGTTCAACCGTGAATGTTGCAGATTTGGTTCATTGATGTTTGTTTAAAAATTTCACTAATGATCTTATTACATTCGTTCATTACAAACCTGGATTGAAGTGGCTCAATTATTGAACCTATGTAACGACAAGCGCAGGAAGCTTGGCTAATTAGCTCGAATGGCTTTTTCTTAGGTTTTGTGTTTACCATTTAAGAGGTTTGCGGGGAACTTCAAAAGTTTCATTTGAATGCCCCCGTCCACCTTTGCTCTTTTCTTTACAATAAGGCTTCAAATAACTCGTGGTTATACGGCAGTGAAGCATCGGTGTTGAACACTGATATCATGCTGCCGATGATGAAGATGAATCAGGTTTATGAACAATCTGTCTTACGGACCGAACTGGGAGACTATCCGACTAGGAGATACGTGAATCTAGGCGCAAAACAACGATGGGCGGATTGAAAACAAAACTAACTGAACATGCACCAGTAGACCAACCTTAACCAAACGAACTGCGGTAGCAGAGCCAAAGTTCACAGTAGTTTACTATAAAATAATTTTATTTTCAGTGCAGCATTTTGTAAGTATCCTAGAGTGTTTACACGCTGAAAATATGAACTCACCATCGGTTCATCTGTGTTCTTCTGGAACTGTACTAGTCGCACCCGAGTCACGTGAGGTTCAACGTCTGTTTCCAGTTGTTCGTCATCATCATCTCCGTTCAGGAAAGACGAAAGTGGAGGAGGGGTGATCCGAAGGGCGTCAGAACTATAAACCTCATGAGCAACTACATCGTGGGTTTGAAGGAGACCCTGTGATCGGAGTATATTACAAGGAATGAGTGTTGCTCGAATATACTCACTCTGTCTAAAATATTCAGAGTTATAAATACCTAAAGTAGAACTGAAAATGGCAGTACTTCAACTACAAGACACCATAGGAGAAGCTCAAATTGTTCACAGTGCGCAAACGCCTTGATTCTAAAGAGCAGAATATCATGAATCATGAACGCAGAAGTGCGTAGCTTGCTAAAAAAAAGTATCACACTGTAAACATAGAATGGATAAGACCAACAGCGGGCATGTCCTTCCAGGATTTGATTCGGAAAGTTTCGCGATCATATGCTGTACAGAATCACACAGGTCTTTGCACCAAAAATGCCCAAAATTTGTGATGCTCACTGTAGATGTTAAGCCCTGTGCCCCTAATGCTAGAGACAGGTGAGTCTCATATCAACTGTTGCCAAGTTTAGCTGAGTTGGCTTGAAACAGAAACTAGTAAATTATGTATGGTAGTTTACATAGCTGCTTACAAACAGTGAGCATTACGCCAGCTAACCACAATGAACTGTTATCAGGAAATGGATACACGCCGCAAATCAAACCCTGACAATCTCCGGAAATTATGTAATCATCTCCCCAAAAGCAGGTTAACCAGAGCAAGATTAATTTGGGGATATGCCAAAAATGTGGTCAAGAACTAAATAAGGTTGGCGCCACTCTACGGACTGCATCTGCTCCTAAAAAGTGGATCCGCAATGAACTGTTGACGAGTTTTCAACAATCCAATAAGTATCAATGGAAAACTAAGGACTGACGTTTTTTGCGCTTTAATGTGACACAGCTGTGGAAAGCCTTCGTTTTCTTTATGGTTTCAAGACTGATGATGAAGTGCATGTTTCCCACTCACTTTACATTTATTATTATTTATTATTTTTCATAAACAAAGTTACCAAAGGTAGGGAGGTCACGTGTTAACAAATTTGTTAACAGTGGGAAGGTTATGGTGGCTGCCGTTTTCCGAAACAGCGCTGTTCTGCCAAAAGAATAATGGTACTAAACGCTGACCTGAATTGCCAAGGCCATCCAGTACGCACTCCACTAACCGTGAGAAGAAAACCTGAACATTTTCTCAGTACATCTTGAAACATAATACCGTTTTTGTGCAAAATGATATGCTGACAGTAGCATGATTGAAGCTAACAAAAGGTTATAGTAAGTTAGCTTCACTCACTCGGAGATGTGGAAGTCTCAGCAGGTAGCGAACTTCATCAGCCAATCCACTGAATTCCGGATTCGATATTTTTGTCAGCTCCGTCACCACCTGTTGGAATATTCAGTGATTTCTCACAATTATACATAGTAGAGAGAAACATCTGAGCTTGGTCATTCGGTGCTCCTAACGACTGAGTTCAGCTGAGCAAGATATTGAAGTCATCACCTAAAATGACTATGAAACATACATCCGATGGCAGTACACACACACTACAGTGGCTCGGCCATGTGTTGAAATGTCGTACATCGACAACAGTACTTTCCCGCGAATTGTCGTGCTTATATCTCCAGATTGTTGGATCGAGCGCTTAGAGGTGCAGGCACCTCAGAATGCTTAAGAAAAACAAGCGTCAGGTTCCTACCTCATCCACTCTTATGCTCCACTTAGTGACCTTAAGGCTTTAGGTATAATCAAGTGAGCTTCATCGTCGTACGGCAGTGAAACATCAGTTTCAACGCTTATGTTTGTCTCTGATGCTGATGCTAATAATGCGTATGAGTTCGAGTTGCTCATTATTTTTAAACCAACATTTCAATGGAGCAAAGCACCAAGGCAAAACTCGTTTAGGGATAAAGACTAACAAAACTCCAACTTGAGTTTATTACTTGCCTGAAATTTAGCTGTGGGAAATAAAATCACTATTGTCACGGGAAAATTTAGGGTTTCGAAAATATAATGATTCATGAGCGTCGGTTTATACTAATGTTCGTCCAAATCAAAGGTGTATAAAAATAGCAAAATGCACTTGAGAAATTTTCAGCAACCTTATGAGTAATGTATTAAGTATATCAAACTGCTTTATCGAGACGATAAATGGTTGAACCTCACCAGGTCTTAGCAAGCGTTATAAATTTGGTTGTACGTGAAGATGATGAATATGCTGAATAGTGTAAGTGAACCATAAGGCAGTAACAGCGGATATACTAAGCCCATGCACGTTAAATACCACTCATAGACTCTGCTATTTCAAAAATGTCTGTTTTCGAAGCAAAGTGTGTGGCTTTAAACGTATGTTTTGTCCCGTTGGAAAAAGGAACCGATCAACAAGGTACTTTTGTGACAATGGGTAATGTAATGCATCCAAATATGGGTTACGACTATAAAAATACCAGGGGACACTTCCAGATACCCGGTATTAAAATTTGATTCTATTGGACTTCAGCAAGATGGCCGTTTTCAAAAAATGAAATAAATAGAGCGCCAAGGAACAGTGAAGTGGGAATATTCCCACTTGAGTGACCGAACTGACTCGCTTTGCTCCCTGGTTAATGTAAACGGCTTATATGATGGAAGATGAAAGTGAGAGTAGTCGTCAGAAAAGTCCCAGTTTTGACAGCATATCTGAAGTTCCTCTGAAAGACGAACGACAGCTAGACAATGGTATGTGTATCCAAACGATGCCCATCAGTGGTTATCCAACAGAGTGGCAGCACCTTTGACACCGAGTTAAACAGTAATTTTCAAGTTTACTGGACAATGCCTACAGAACTCACCACATGGCATTTGCTCGTCGCGTCTTCAGGCGCACGAAAACTTGGCCCAAGTCCGTAGGAATTGATGTGGTCATAAAGCTAAGAAGATTCAGATGTAGTAATCAAGTAACGAAAAAATGATGGTGATACAGGAACGAAACCCTATGGATGGGTCAAATAAGCCCCATCACACATACGACAGAGATAGAGACTTTACAATTTGCGCATCTGATTAAGCTTCATATAACAGTAAGAAGAAGAAAGACTACCCAAACCACAGAAAGATAATGAAATCAACAGAGGAATTTTAGTAGGAGAGATTGCTCCAATTTCTGATGCGCATGTTTTACCTCATCTGTGTGAAGGATCATTAACATAGCGTGGATCAACAGATTCAGAATAAAATTGTGGCTGGAGACTTTCCGCAATGCCGGTATGATTTTATATATATATATATATATATATATATATATATA